GGGTGTGTCAGTCTCCACCAAAGCGTGAGCGAGCTAGAGCTGGAGGGCAGGCACAATCAAAACCATCTGCAGCAAGACAGGGCACCAACAGACAAGCTCTAGCCAGGGAAAGGGGACTCGTGGATTTGGTTTTCTACATGGAAGGTTATCCTGCACGCTGCCCTTCCCATTTCTCTTCCAGCAGGAGATCCTGTGCTGCACAGCGCATCTGCAATGTCTGGAGAAACCCACCACCCATCTGTGTACAGAGCAAAGGCAGTGAGCAGAAAGGCATCTCATGCCTACAGGAGAAAGCCCCAGAGAGCCAGATGCTAGAAGGACTGACTTATCCTTAAAAATATAAAAGGTAGCTGTTAAAAGGTATCATCTGGGAAAGGGAAACCCTATTTGAAAGCACAGCACAAAGCCACTGCAGAAAGGACCTCACCCAAACAGAAGGAAAGGAAGTCACAATCCAGCATGGGCAAGAGCAAATGACCATGAAGGCCAAAAAAAAAAAAAAAAACAAACAAACGAGAGAGAAATGCCATCCCTGCCCGCCAGCTGCACTCTGTCCCCTGTCACCAAACAGTCCCTGTGCAGTGCATCTAGGAGCAGATTCCTCTGCCTCAGCCTTCGGAGCAGATGCTATCGCATTGCAGCACCTGGGTGCCAAGCTGCGGGGAAGGAAGCTCTTAGGGCTCATTAAGAACTGGCCGGAAAGCGTACATTGCTGATGTACAGAGCTGGGGAATCGCGTGGGCCTTCTGTGCTGAAATGGCTGTTGGAGGCTACAGAGCACATCCTGAGCTCTCAGGCCAGGCAGAAAGCAAGCGGTAGCTATTTATGTTCAAAAATATCTTCAGAAGCCTTGAGAGCAGTCATCAAACTCGGGAAAAAGCATGCATGTCAAGGGCTTGCTAGTTTTAATTAGCACTCGCCTCTCCGCCTCTTGGAAAATGGCTTTTGTACTTTGCTTGTGGAGGAGGAGGTTGCTGGCCTGTGTCTTGGGCCAGGACTCGCCAGGCACAGCAGGGCACGAGCCAGCGCTTGCTACCCGAGTTCCTAAGCCCAGGCAGGCCTAGCAGGGTTTAGGCTTGGACCACACAGGCTTTGGGAGCACGTTAATCCTGTTCAGGATAACAGCAGCGCCCAGGGCTGAATACCAGCCCGCTTTAAAAAAGCGATGCTGTCTTCCCTCGCTTACCCTTGCTTGGCCTGAGTCTGCTCCCCGTGAACCGCTGGCATACAAAAACATGCCTTGTGTCCCCAGAAGGGCTCCGTTATACCCAAAATGACAGTATTTGGCAAGCTCATTCTTGCTGTGCCTTGGTCACCTGCCGAGCCACGACTGCCCAGAGCAGAGCAACCTGTTGGCCCTGCCCAACGGAGAGGGACGCTCCCCGCTCCGGCTCCCTGCATCCACAGGGCAGCACCCAAAGCAGCTGCACCGGGAGCCGCGGCGATACCACACGAAGATGGACTACGGATAAGGGTACCACACTCCACGCCCCGGATTAGACCCGTCCCCAGCGAGCGGGCTGTGTTGCTTCTCCTGTCTCCGCACTGTCAGACGGTGTATAACCCCAGGTAGGACAGACCTGCTGTCACGGAGGGAAGGGCTGCGTTTACCAACACCGTATCACAACAGCACTGCCTCCACCCTAGGGCTTGTCCCTTCAAACCACTGGGTGATAAACCTGCCGGTGCCAGGCAGGGCTGCTGCGCTACGTGCAAGTAGTGACAAACCCACTTACACCCAGTGAGCATCAAATTTGCCCAGGAACAGCACAGGCAGGTGCCCTGCTTTGTGCAGCCTGCCCTATCTACTGGTTAATGAAAAGTTTTGCAGGCTCTTAGGACTTACATCAGTCTGTATAAAAGGCAAATGGTGCAAATTAAGCCATTTCTACATCGCCAGGTTCCTGCAAATTCCTGAGTGGATGCTGATGGATCAAGGCTGGTTGGTACCCAGGACTGGATGGTCTCGTACATGCAAGCAGGGACTTCCCACCCTGCTCCCAGCTCGCGATGCCAGAGCTCAAAGCTGCCGCTGTTGTTGTTATTTCTCCTCCTTCATTTTGCGAGAATGTTTTCTACAGCTTTTTTTTTTTTTCTTTTAAAGAACATTTTGCTATGAACTAGCAAAACCTGTTCTGGACGCACACACAGAACTGCTCACCATCTGCAGCATTTGCCAGTGTGACTTTTTCTTTTTTTTTTTTTTTTACAGGATACTATCTTGGCTCTCTCCTGCATGTGGGCGCCCGGCTGCCTCACCCAGGGGAGACGTGGGCCCGCAGGAATCAGACGACAGAAGCCCACGAGCCAAGCCCTGCTCCCTCCGGCTACTGAGGAGGCTGAACTGGTCCCCTCGTCGTGCAGGGAGGCAGGGGGAATCCCAAACCTGCCGCTCCAGTGGTGCCGAGGTCCTTGCAGACCTTGGTTCTGGCTCCATTTTCCTTCAATTAACAACAGACGTGGAATGAAACATAACATTTTAGGAAAGATCTTCCACATGTTTGGTTTTGGCAGAGTCCGACAGCTTTAAGGGAGCCAAAAAATAACTAATCCTCTTCTCCTTCAGCCAAGGGGTGGCTGAGGAGTGGGACCGGTGGAGGGAAAGGGAAGAAGGGTGGAAAGGGAAGGGAGACGAGGACAAGACAGAAAAACGGCTGAACTGGAACCAGTCACTCCCAGTTTCCAGTTAAAGCATCTCTAAAGTGTAGATACCCGTGTGCCGGTCACCAGGGCACTGCAAAAGGGGTGGCAGCACCTCTGAAAGAGGACTGCATCCCTCTCATCCCTGCAAAGCAAGTCACTTCACCAATATTGGTGGAAAACCTCACACCAAACCCAGCTTCTTCAGATTAAATCAGCTCCCAAAACCCTGTGGCAACAAGAGCTGTGAAAGAATTCACGATGCAGTTGCAAATACACACTACGCAACTGTGAAAACACCTTATCTCCCAATTTAATACGCCACTAAACGCAGTCTAAGCGCTCAAGTGAAGTACGTGCACATGCACTCAGGAGGCAAGCGGGCCACCGAGTTTGCGCGTTGGGCAAGTTACTTCTCCCTGGACAGCTGTGCCGGGTTTAGTTTTTCCACAGGCAGCCAAAATGGTTCCTTTTAAGAAAAAAAGACACCTGTAACAGAAAAAAAAAAACAAAGACCACACAAGACTTCACTTTACAATAAATCCCCCCGAGGAAGCCTTCATCAGGTGTTTTAAAATGATGTTTTTAGACTTTAGAAACACGCTACTCCTGACTTATCAATGAGCCTTCACCTCTAATTGCCCTGCGACACCACCACGGCACATCCACGCCAGCAAAATCCTCCTACACGGAGTTTTCAGCACAACCTTCTCCCATGGAAGTCGTAAAAAAATCCCACGATGCAGGGTTTTGCGAGAAAGGGGGTGGGGGAATGACTTAAGGAATCTGTTATTTTGCTTTGCTGTTTAAGCAAAATGCTTTTTTGTAAACATGGCCAAGAAAGTAGGCAACACACGTAGCAAACATGCTTGGGCTGAGCTTAAAGGGGTTTAAACTTTGTGCCTGGAAAACACAGTCTGGTGGTAGATCTGTGCAAAATTCATCTTAAATTTAAAACAGGGACAGAAAAGCAGCGACCGCGGGAAGCAGAGGAGTATTTGCGATTCCCGAACCATGCCAAAAATACATTAAAAAAAATTCCCAACTGCCAATTTCAGTGCTGTTCACAAGCACCGGGAAGGATAACTCTGCTTGGGGGTATCGGGAACGGCCACCCCTCACGCAGAGGGTGAGGAAGAAGGTGTTTACAAACCCCGTTAGAAGCAGATTCCCACATCTGGGGGGAAGAGCTGCAGCCCCCTGACCTGTGGGGAGCCACACTTCACGATCTTCTCTTTAGGATGACATAAACTCACTGTTTACCACCAGAGCAATCAATGACGAGATCAATTTTCGCTTGGCTAAAAATCACCCATCTGACAAGTTTTTTCCAACGTCCCCCAGCCGTTTCCCGTGCGGGCCGGGGCTCCGGGTTCTCTCGCCAAGCCCCAAAATCCTTTCCCGGTCCTGCCGCCAGCTGCTCTTCAGGAAGCGGGAGCTTCCCGAGGTTGGGCTGCAGCCGCCATCTGAGTTTAACGGGGCTGGTGACTCCCAGCTACGGCCTCAAACCCTGCCTGGCCAGCACCTTCCAGGGCTTTCCCCTTAAAATCCCGCTCCGCTTACAAAGTCCAAGGGCATCTCGGCTGTTGAGGCGCTTCACCGCCATCGCCCGCAAAGCCGGTGTGGGTCTGGGGCTGAGCAGGCTGGATCCGTTCCCTCGCCGTGCCGTGGGCACGGACCGTTTTTGGGGAAGGTGGGCAGCACACCCCCACCATGACACCCACCTGGACCTCGGCCACGGCCGGCACCCAAACTCCAGGACCCTCCGGTCCACAGCGGATGCGTTTTTCTACTGGGGTCCCTCCAACACCCCTGGCCCGAGGGGGGGTACAGGACCATCCCCAGGACCCTCCAGGATCCCCTGAGGGTTTGGGGGGCATCCGAGGGGGCCACAGCGAGGACACTGCGGCACCCTGCTCTGCTGACAGCCCACGCAGGGCTGGCCCTGCCCCGCCACGGCGGGGGGGGAACGACACACCGAGCCCCGGGAT